CCTCTGGGCATCACATAGAACATAGCACAAGTTGCTTGCTAACTCCTGGTCCACCTCTTGGGCATCACAGAAAAACATCACACAAGTGCTTGCTAACCCTGGTCCACCTCTTGAGCATCACAGAGAACATCAGCACAAGTTGCTTGCTAACCCCTGGTCCACCTCGGGGCTCACAGAGAAATCAGCACAGGTTTTGCTTGCTAACTCCTGGTCCACCTGTTGGGAATCACAGAGAACTCAGCACAAGCTGCTTGCTAACTCCTGGTCCACCTCTTGGGTATCACAGAAAACCCATCAGCACTAGTTGCTTGCTAACTCCTGGTCCCCCCTCTTGGGCATCACAGAGAACATCAGCACAAGCGCTTGCTAACCCTGGTCCCCCTCTTGGGCATCACAGAGAACATCAGCACAACTGCTCGCTAACTCCTGGTCCACCTCTTGGGCATCACAGAGAACATCAGCACAAGCTGCTTGCTAACTCCTGGTCCACGTCTTGGCAAACACAAAGAACATCAGCACAAGCTGCTTGCTAACCCCCTGGTCCACCTTTTGGGCATCACAGAGAACATCAGCACAAGTTGCTTGCTAACTCCTGGTCCACCTCTTGGGCATCACAGAGAACATCAGCACAAGCTGCTTGCTAACTCCTGGTCCACCTCTTGGGCATCACAGAGAACATCAGCACAAGCTGCTTCTAACCCTGGTCCCCCCTTTTGGGCAAACACAGAGAACACAGCACAAGCTGCTGCTAACTCCTAGTCCACACTTTGGGGCAACACAGAGAACATCAGAAACAAGCTGCTTGCTAACTCCTGGTCCACCTCTTGAGATCACAGAGAACATCAGTACAAGCTGCTTGCTAACTCCTGGTCCAACGTCTTGGGCATCACAGAGAACATCAGCACCAAGCTGCTTTGCTAACTCCTGGTCCACGTTTTGGGGCCCTCACAGAGAACATCAGCAAAAAGCTGCTTGCTAATCCTGGTCCACCTCTTGGTCATCACAGAGAACATCAGCACAAGCTGCTTGCTAACCCTGGTCCACCTCTTGGGCATCACAGAGAAACACAGCACAAGCTGCTTGCTAACTCCTGGTCCACCTCTTGGGCATCACAGAGAACATCAGCACAAGCTGCTTGCTAACTCCTGGTCCACCTCTTGGGCATCACAGAGAACATCAGCACAAGCTGCTTGCTAACTCCTGGTCCACCTTTTGGGCATCACAGAGAACATCAGCACAAGCTGCTTGCTAACGCCTGGTCCACCTTTTGGGGGCATCACAGAGAACATCAGAAACAAGTTGCTCGCTAACTCGTGGTCCAAGTCTTGCCATCACAGAGAACATCAGCACAAGCTGCTGCTAACCCCTGGTCCACCTCTTGGCATCACAGAGAACATCAGCACAAGCTGCTTGCTAACTCCTGGCCCCACCTTTTGGGGCATCACAGAGAACATCAGCACAAGTTGCTCGCTAACTCCTGGTCCACGTCTTGGGCATCACAGAGAACATCAGCACAACTGCTCGCTAATCCTGGTCCACCCTCTTGGCATCACAGAGAACATCAGCACAAGCTGCTTGCTAACCCCCTGGTCCACCTCTTGGGCATCACAGAGAACAATCAGCCAAACTGCTTGCTAACTCCTGCTCCACGTCTTGGCATCACAGAGAACATCAGCACAAGCTGCTCGCTAACTCCTGGTCCACCTCTTGGGCATCACAGAGAACATCAGCACAAGCTGCTTGCTAACTCCTGGTCCACCTCTTGGGCATCACAGAAAAACATCAGCACAAACTGCTTTGCTAACTCCTGCTCCACGTCTTGGGCATCAAGAGAACATCGCACAAAGCTGCTCGCTAACTTCTGGTCCCTCTTGGGCTTCACAGAGAAAACATCAGCACAAGCTGCTTGCTAACTCCTGGTCCACCTCTTGGGCATCACAGAGAACATCAGCACAAGCTGCTTGCTAACTCCTGGTCCACCTCTTGGGCATCACAGAGAACATCAGCACAAGCTGCTTGCTAACTCCTGGTCCACCTCTTGGGCATCACAGAGAACATCAGCACAAGCTGCTTGCTAACTCCTGGTCCACGTCTTGGGCATCACAGAGAACATCAGCACAAGCTGCCCCGCTAATTCGGGTCCACCTCTTGGCATCACAGAGAACATCAGCACAAACTGCTTGCTAACTCCTGCTCCACGTCTTGGGCATCACAGAGAAACATCAGCACAAGTTGCCGCTAACTCCGGTCCACGTCTTGGCATCACAGAGAACATCAGCACAAGCTGTCGCTAACTTCTGGTCCACCTCTTGGCATCACAGAGAACATCAGCACAAGCTGCTTGCTAACTCCGGGTTCCACCTCTTGGGCATCACAGAAAAACATCAGAAAAAAGCTGCTTGCTAACTCCTGGTCCACCTCTTGGGCATCACAGAGAACATCAGCACAAGCGCTTGCAAAACTCCTGGTCCACGTCTTGGCAACACAAAGAACATCAGCACAAGCTGCTTGCTAACTCCTGGTCCACGTCTTGGGCATCCCCAGAAAACATCAGCACAAGCTGCTCGCTATACTTCTGGTCCACCTCTTGGGCATCACAGAGAACATCAGCACAAGCGGGCTTCTAACTCCTGGTCCACCTCTTGGGCATCACAAAAAGAACATCAGAAGAAGCTGCTTGCTAACTCCTGGTCCACCTCTTGGGCCATCACAGAGAAACATCAGCACAAGCTGCTTGCTAACTCCTGGTCCACGTTCTGGCAACAAAAAGAACATCAGCACAAGCTGCTTGCTAACTCCTGCTCCACGTCTTGGGCATCACAGAGAACATCAGCACAAGTTGCTTGCTAACTCCTGGTCCACCTCTTGGATCACCAAGAGAACAAGAACAAGCTGCTTGCTAACTCCTGGTCCACCTTTTGGGGCATCACAGAAAACATCAGAACAAGCTGTTGCAAAACTCCTGGTCCACCTCTTGGGCATCACAGAGAACATCAGAACAAGCTGCTTGCTAACTCCTGGTCCCACCTTTTGGGCATCACAAGAGAACATCAAAACCCAAGCTGCTTGCTAACTCCTGGTCCACCTCTTGGGCATCACAGAGAACATCAGCACAAGCTGCTTGCTAACTCCTGGTCCACGTCTTGGGCATCACAGAGAACATCAGCACAAGCTGCTTGCAACTCCTTATCCACCTCTTGGGCATCAAAAGAACATCCACACAAGTTGCTCGCTAACCCGGGCCACCTCTTGGCATCCAGAGAACATCAGCACAAGCGCTCGCTAACTCCTGGTCCACCTCTTGGCATCACAGAGAAATCAGCACAAGCTGCTTGCTAATTTCCTGGCCACCTCTTGGCACACAAGAAAAAACAGCACAAGCTGTTTGCTAACTCCGGGTCCACCTCTTTTGTCATTAGGGGGTAATGATTGAATAGGATATAAGTGGGGAATATGGGAAAGTAGGGGGTATCGTAGGCAGGGGGGGGGCAGGCGAGGTGGTAGGAGTGACGTATGCGGAGGTAGGTAGGAAAATGACGGGTCAGTGGTGACCACTACACACTCTCTTTAACTCTCACTACTCACTAACATATCCCTTTCCCCCACTCTTCACTCATATAAACATAATAAAATATGAGAAATAGGAATAGCTAATAACGGGGACAGTGAATATTACTATTCTACTCAAACAGTTATTATTAAGTCCTTTACAATAATATATTTGGGAACAGGAGTACATCATTGGTTTAGATAAATGGGGTGGTACACATAAGCAGTGAGACAGGGAAATACAATCAACTTGACGAAAATGAATATAACTTACAATATAGCACAGAGGACAGTTCACTACAGGAACTAAGCACAGGTCCCAAGACCTACACAGCACGAGTATGATAGCTACCAATACCCTTAAGATGTTTATGATAGCTACCCATACTCTTAACATGTTTATGATAGCTACCCATACTCTTAACATGTTTATGATAGCTACCCATACCCTTAAGATGTTTATGATAGCTACCCATACCCTTAAGATGTTTATGATAGCAACCCATACCCTTAAGATGTTTATGATAGCTACCCATACCCTTAAGATGTTTATGATAGCAACCCATACCCTTAAGATGTTTATGATAGCTACCCATACCCTTAAGATGTTTATGATAGCTACCAATACCCTTAAGATGTTTATGATAGCTACCCATACCCTTAAGATGTTTATGATAGCTACCCATACCCTTAAGATGTTTATGATAGCTACCCATACTCTTAAGATGTTTATGATAGCTACCCATACCCTTAAGATGTGTATGATAGCTACCCATACCCTTATTATTATTATTATTATTATTATATTATTATTATTATTATTATTATTATTATTATTATTATTATTATTTTATTTTTATTATTATTATCACTATTGTCATAATTATCATTATAATAATAATAATTTATTATTATTGTTTATGTTATTGTGATGGATATTCTTTGTCTCTTCGTAAGTGTGATCATAACCAACTCCGGCATCGACACCATGCCCAGCCCTTCTAGGGTAGGGTAGGTGCCTGAGCCCGAGCTTGCAGCTCACAAGCCTGTCATTCCCATTAGCTCCCTTGGGGCGGGGATGGCAGACCTGATAGGCCTAGCTTGTGGCTAGGCCTGGGGACAGTTGGTCCCAAAGATGAGGAGGTACTTGTGCCTCCTCCCATGGCAGACTTAGGTCTCAGACACTCCCTAAAGAGGGAGTCAAGGCCGGGCCACCACTTGGAAAAGGCCCGGGCCGGGAGAATACCGGCGAATATTTAATAATAATGATAATAACCAACTCTGGCAGTGTGAATATACTAACATAGTGAATATACTAACATAGTGAATATACTAACATAGTGAATATACTAACATAGTGAATATACTAACATAGTGAATATACTAACATAGTGAATATACTAATATAGTGATTGTTTTTATTGCTTCCCAAAAATTTAAATTAACAATAATTAACCATTAATATTAATACAATTAAATAATAATAATGAAACAATAATAGTAATATTAGTTTTCTGTTACTATGTATTCGTAAACATTTGCTTTTGAAAAGGATCTTGAATTCTGCAGTAATTTTTATCTGAAAATATTCTTACTTAGATAACCATTATTTTTTGTCTCTCATGAAATTAATTTAATAAGTATAGCAGATGATGGTGATTTACCTTATTAAGGAAACCCTTTCAGAATCCCTGGTATCCGTCTTTTGTTTTTCAGGATTATTGAATTTTCTTCTCCATATGCCTAACAATTTCCGGAGCGCCTTCACCGATCTTGGGTTTTTCACAGTCTCCACCAAAGTAAGCATTAACTTTGGCTGGAACAAGACTATGAGCACCAGTTGTTGGATCAACCATCTCCTGACACATTTCTTGGAAAACACACTTCACCAATGTCAATAAGTCTTTTCCTTGATACTCTTCCTCGTTATTTCGCTTCTTCTCTAGAAACCTTAAGAATGAATTTTTAAGGCAAAATCCAGCTGGAATCGGGATTTTCCAATAACGGGAGTCCCACCAGCAATATTTAATCTTTACATCACTGGGCATCCAAGGTTCTGCCTTCATGCAAGAGAGAAGACTCTTGGCAGTGAGAAACACTTTGCGTTCCAGAAGATCCAGCTGTTGTAACACCTCCACCTCAGTGGCTGCAAAGCTACATCTCCATCCTCCATCTTCAGTGTTGCTGAGGTGGATCACTGTTGATGTGTCTGGTGTAAGAAAAGGTTTGCTTATCTTCTAGAGCCAAGGCACAGCCACCACTGGCACCATGTCAACACCAATCAACAACAATGGGTACTTATGTCCCTGCCAAGCCAGTGACAGTGCCACACCCACCTGTGTCCTGGTCAGGCCAGGTGGCACCAGACTTAATCTTTTGTTAACCAAAGTATATGTTTTGAGACGGTCCTCTACACACTCATAAAACTTGTTTACAAAATTGCTGTAGTCGAAATCACTGAGTTTTGGTTCCACTCTTAATTTGTGTCCACTGGCAAAGGCCTCTTCCTGTGTTTGTTCCACAATGTTAAATTCGATGTTTGAAAAATTGTTGAGAACAAGATTTACATCGAACTCATCAGGGCAATACAACCTTGTGGAATCTGCAGAACTTCCAAGCAATATGAGATCTCCTTTGTAAGTTTTATCTGGAATATTTTTCATAATATTCTGAAGTTCTTTCATTACTGCATCTTTAACTTCTAGTGCTTCACCTTTGGCATAATCAACGGTCACTTCTTCTACGTCTTCTACTATTTCTTTTAAATCATTTTGGTTGAGAAGATTCATAGTAGCTTCTGATGAGTTATTCATATGTTCAATTTTAATGTTAGTAGACTGATTGTTTTTCTTGTACATTTTCAGGTACTTAAGGAAATTTTCACGAACATCTTGTGGGGAAGTACCAGCCCTGCAAGAAGGTTTATTCTCAGTATGATATCTTTCTAAATGTTTATAAACATTGTGATGGCCGAACATTGCAGACAAGTGGGAAGGTGTTTGATTATATCTGTCAGGCTTCAAGGGTTGGGCGCCAAGGTTTAAAAGAAGGAGAACACAGCTAGACTTTCCATGAGAGGCAGCCTCGTGGAGAGCAGTGGTGTCACTAATATTATCCACTAGTGTGTCTACAGCAAGTCCACCTATCTCTACCAGGAGGTAAATAAGCTGTTGTAGCCCCTTTCTTGAGGCCACCAGGAGTGTTTGGTCTCCTATATTTAACACCAGTGTTTCCTCATCTTGGGTAAAAGGTTTCGTCTTGTTGAACAGAAGCTCCTGAACCTTCAAAAACTCCAGCACCAGTTGTTTATCAGTGGGGGATTTCATCTTCTCCAATAAGTCTTCTAGTTGGTGTCTTTCCTTGAAATAAATGGTCTGAAAAGTGTCAGTTTGTTAAAAATACATTAACATATATACATTTTAATTTAGTAAAACAGAAGAAACAATAAATATGTTAATCAACATTTTAAAATATGTATTATAGATTCACCAAGTTTTAAAATTCATGATTGTTTTAAATCATCAGAGAGTTTTTTTCACTACAGTAGATTTGACACAATACTCTTAAGACAAAAAATAAATTTCTCTTAGAATTTTTAAATATTTTTATTAAATTTTAATATTTTATATGTACATATTTTGATATAATGATATTATAGTTAAATCTTTTTACCAAACTAATGTCATTAATGCTGTACACAACTTATTTATGACCAATCAAGAAAAACTTTATCTTTAAAATATATATGAAAATAAACTGTATATAAACACTAAGAGACAAACACTTCTCTTTGTATAAAACCTTGAACATATTTTGGAAAAGTTTTATCTACTATTTTTCAGTAACAGGTGATGCCAAATTTTATTACCGGAGTTGAATTTTATTGTAATGTGACCTGGAATAAATCTTGAACATTATGAATATTTTCAAGTGACTTTGTTTATCATCACAGTATTTGTTGAGATTAAAGACTTGTGCAACACTGACCTTCTCAAGTGTCTGGCAGAGCTCTGTATGTACCTCACTTATTATGTTTTTATTCTTTCTTCTCTAACATTTCTGTTCCCTTCTTTCGAAACAACTGGTCTGAAAAGTGTCACTTTGTTAAAAATACATTAAAACTATGTACATTTTTATTATCTTTAGTTAAACAGAACAAACAAAAAATATTTTTATAGCGAAATATCTTAAAATATATATTATTCATTGAACAAGTTTTCAAAATTCGAGATTATTTAAAAACATACGAGAGTTTTTGTCAAAACAGTAGAATTGATTCACACAATATTTTTAAGGCAAAATATAAATGTCTTTCAATTTTTTTTCTAAATTTTAATTCATTATATCAATGTATTTTGATATATTGATATTTTGCCTAATTTTTTTCTAAACCAATGCAATTAAGGCTGCACACAACCTATTTACGACCAATCAAGGAAAAAACATTTCCTAAAATATATATGAATGAACACTGAGAGACATATACGTATCTCTCATTGCATAAAACCTTGAACATATCTTTTATTTTTTCATCTATTACCGTACATTAATAGGTGATACCTAATTTTATTACCTGTGTTCAAGTTTTTTTTGTAACGTGACCTGGAATAAATCATGAACATTATGTACTTTTTCAAGTGACTGAGTTTATCATCACAGTATTTGTGAAGAATAAAGACTTGTGCAACACTGACCTTTTCAAGTGTCTGGCAGAGCTTTGTATTCATCACACTTGTGGGTAGTTGACCACTGTTGTCCGGGATATACAGAGAACCTCCCATGTCCTTGATTATGTGCTCAGCAAGGTCCCAGTGTCCAGCTTCCAGTGCAGCGTGCACAGGAGTCATGCCACACTTGGTACATAAGGAGGACTGAGCTCCAGCCTGGTAGAGGAAGCTGCATGTCAAGGTACACTTGGCACCAGCAGCCTGAACCATGAGCTCAGTTAGCATCTCCACAGACATACCAGGTGACCAGCGGACCATCCAGGGAGTGTCACCTTGTAAGGTCACTATGAGACCTTTAACACCACCTCTTAAGGTGGATACAATATTATTATCTACACCTTTGCTAGTTGTTGGGAGATTATTAATTTGACCAAGTTCATACTGCAGTACATGAAGGAACACCTGTAAATATTTGTATAAATTAAAGTCAGTGGTAAGAAAGACTTCTAATATATTTTCTTAATTAACCCATTGATAAACTGCTGATAATCTACACAATGATCAGTGTCTCTCACATGAATGAACAAAATACGGATTATTGTTCAGTAGTTATTCCGTTTTTATGTTTAAAATAAAAAAAAATTGTGATTTATTTTAAGGGACTTATCGCGTGCAAGAACGTTATCAATTATGATGAGCTTCACTGCCAAAACCTCACCAGAAAAAATGATTCTTAATTATTTTTAAGTAATTTTTCCCTTTAACAATTGTTTTATTTTTTAATAACGTTTTCTTCACCCCGTTGAAAAACATTCTTAATTTTCTGATGAGAACCATTCTCACATCACTGTGAAAAATTTTCTTACATAAATGTGAGAACCCTTCTAATCACTGATGAGAACAATTCTTACTCACTGAGGGAAAACCCATTTTACATCCTGATGAAAAACCCATTCTTACATCATGATGGAAACCTTTTTTACATCACTGATGGAACCATTCTTACATCACTGATGAAAAACCAATTTTTCACACTGAGAAAAACTTTCTTACACAAACTGATGGAAAATTTTACATCACTGATAAAACTTCTTACCCCGATGAAAACCCATTTTACATCACGATGAGAAACATTCTTAATACTGATGAGAAACATTCTTCATCACTGATAAAACATTCTTACATCACTGATGAGAAAATTTTACACACGATGAGAAACTTTTACATCCTGTGAAAACCATTTTTAAACTCACGATGGAAACATTTTACATCACTGAGAGAAACTTTTTCCCTTACATCCTGATAAACCATTTTACATCACTGATGAAAAACATTCTTACACATAAAGAAAAATTCTTACTTCCCTGATGAAAACTTTCTACTCACTGATAAAGAACCATTTTACATCATGATGAAAAACTTCTTACATCACTGATGAGAACATTTTACATCACTGATGAGAAAACATTCTTACATCCTGATGAGAAACCATTTTTACATCACTGTGAAAAAACATTTTTCATCACTGTGAAAACATTTACATATGATGAGAAACAAATTCTTTACATCTGATGAGAAAAATTTTTCTTAAACATCATATGGAAAAACATTTTCATTGATGAAAACCCTTCTTCATCCTATGGCATTTTTTTGTGAAAAAATTCTCCCCCTTAAAAATTCTTAAAATGAAATTTTTACATCATGATGAAAAAACATTTTTTTACTCCTGTGAAAAACCATTCTTACATCACGATGGAAAAAACATTCTTACCCATTTGTAGAAACATTTTACTCACGAGGCCATTTAAATTATTGTAAAAAACATTTTAATATTTTGAGAAACTTTTAACATCATGAGGGAAAAAAATTTTTTAACCCGGGTAAAAAAAAATTTTCCCGGTGATTCAAATTCCTTTACCATGATGAAAAAATAATCTTTACAAAAAATGATGAGAAACATTTTACATCATGATAAAAAAACTTTTCTAACAATGATAAAAAACATTCTTACACAACTGTGAGAAAACATTTACATCACTGTGAAAAACTTCTTACCCGCGATGAAAAACATTCTTACATCAGATGAGAAACCTTCTTACATGACGATGAGAAACATTCCTACTCACTGATGAAAACTTTCTTACATCACGATGAAAAAAATTCTTACAGGATGATGAAAAACTTTCCTACATCACTGATGAGAAATTTTTTTCATCATGAGAAAAAACATTCTTCTGTACCAGGGGTTAGAACACTTTACCCAAAGGGTGAAAATTTTCTCCCCCCCACGGGTGGAAACTTCCTCATTTCCATTTGCTGAGAAACATTCTCACATCACTGGTAAAAAAAATTTCCCCAATTAATTTTAAAGAAACTTGTAAAACACCATTGGGAGGAAAATTTCACCCCAATGGTGAGAAACTTTCTCACAAACTGGGAGAAATTTTGTCACACCACTGCTTGAAACATTTCACTTCCTGGTGAAAAACTTTCCACACCAGTGGTGAGAAACTTGCCCAAAACCACGGTGGAAACTTCCACGCCCTGGTGAGAAACTTTCCTAAAACCATTTTGTGAGAAACTTCTCAATAACTTGGTGAGAAGTATTCTCACTTTAATGTTAAGAAACATTCTCACACCACTATGAGAAACATTCTCACACCACTTGAGAAACTTTTCCACCACTAGTGAGAAAACATTCTCACACCACTAGTGAAAACTTTCCCCAAACCACTAGTGGAAACTTTACACCCATAGTGAGAAACATTCTCACACCTCTGGTGAAAAAAATTTCACACCACTAGTGAGAAACTTTCTCACACCACTAGTGGAAACCTCACACCATAGTGAGAAATTTTCTTCCCCCACTAGTGAGAAACTTTCAATAACTGGTGAGAAAAATTCTCACTTTAAATTAAAAAAACTTCTACACCACTGTGGAAACTTTCCCCACACCCACTATGAAAAAACATTCTCACCCAATTGTGAGAAACATTCCACACCATAGTGAGAAACATTCTCTCACCACTAGGGGAAAAAACTTCTCACATAATGGTGGAAATATTCCACTTTAAGTTAAAAACTTTTTCCCACACCACTAGTGAGAAACATTCTCACCCCATAGTGAGAAACATTCTCACACCACTAGTGAAAAATTCTCACACCACTAGTGGAAACTTCTCACCCACTAGTGAGAAAATTCTCACACCACTAGTGAGAAACATTCTCACCCCACTAGTGAGAAACATTCTCACACCTTGGGAGAAACATTCTACACCACTAGTGAGAAACATTCTCCACACTAGTAGAAACTTTCTCACCCTTGGTGAGAAACTTCTCACACCACTAGTGAGAAACTTTCACACCACTAGTGAGAAAATTCCACCCCACTAGTGAGAAACTTCTCTCCCACTTGAGAAAACATTCTCACAAAAACTGGTGAGAAATATTCTCATTTAATGTTAAGAAACATTCTCACACCACAGTGAGAAACTTCTCACCCATGTGAGAAACATTTCACACCCAAGTGAAAACATTCTAACCATATGAGAAACATTTCTCCCCATAGGAGAAACTTCTCACAAAACCTGGTGGAAATTTCTCATTTTAATGTTAAGAAACATTTCACCCATATAAAAACATTCTCACCCTTTAGTGAAAACATTCCCACCCACTAGTGAGAAACTTCTACACCAAGTGAGAAACATTCTACACCCTAGTGAGAAACTTTTCCCCCCAACCACAGTGAGAAACTTCTCACCCAAGTGAAAAAATTCTCAACCTCTGGTGAGAAACATTCTCACACCCTAGTAGAAAATTCTCACACCACTGTGAAAACATTCTCACACCTTGGTGAAAAAACATTCTCACCCACTAGGGGAAAAAACTTTCCCCACACACTAGTGGAAACATTCTCACACCACATAATTAGAAAACTCATGAATTAGATATTCAACACGTTGTCTTTAAATTGTACAACAATTTTCAGATACCCAGAAAAAGTGAAGATTTAATGACAGAACGTTGGGGAATAAATGTGTTAAATAGGTAATTACTTGGTCTAAGTTTGCGTAAAAAATATTTTATGTTGCGTCGAAACGCCCACGGCCCTTAAACCCTGTGATTTGTTTTTGTTGATTGAGCAACAGGGAAATTTGTGGTCACTGGGCAAGGTTTTAAAACATTATACCAGACTACAAGGTTTTTAAACATTTCCCCACTCACAAGGTGAAAAACTTTTCCCCAGCTCCAAGGTGAAAACATTTCCCCGACTCAAAGGTGTTAACATTTACCCGTCTCACAAGGTTTAACTTATCCCCAGACCCCCAAAAGGTTTTTAACATTTCCCAGACTCACAAGGTTTTAACATTATACCCAGCTCACAAGGTGTTAACATTTACTCGTCCCACAAGGTTTTAAACATTATCCCCAGCTCACAGGTGTTTTTTATACTCGTTACAAGGTGTTAACATTATCCCAGACTCACAAGGTGTTAACATTATACCCAGACTCACAAGGTTTTAACATTATCTCAGCTCAAAAGGTGTTTCATTATCCGGATCACGGGTTTTAAACTTAACCCAACTCACAAGGTGTTAAAATTATACCCAGACTCAGAAGGTGTTAACATTAACCAGACTCAAAAGGTGTTAAATTTACACAAAACACAAGGTTTTAAATTATACCGTTCACAAGGTGTTAACTTTTATCCCCGACTCACAAGGTTTTAAAATTATACCAGATCCAAGGTGTTAACATTATGCTCAGTCTACAAGGTGTTAACATTTTACCCAAAACTCACAAGGTGTTAACATTATCCCCCAGCCCACAAGGGTTAACATTTACTCGTCCCCAAGGTGTTAACATTATCCCCCGACTCACAAGGTGTTAACATTTACCCAGACTCACGGGGGTTTAACTTATACCCAGATAACAAGGGTTAACATTATACAAAGCTTACAAGATTGTAACTTTAAACCCGTCTCACAAAAGTTAACATTTACCCTGCTCACAAGGGTTAACATTATCCCAGTCTCAAAAGGTGTTAACATTTTACCCAACCCCAAAAGGGTGTTAACTTAAAAACCAGACTCACGAGGTGTTAAATTTTCCCAGACTCACAAGGTGTTAACTTTTACGCGTTCACAAGGTGTTAACATTTTCCGTCTAAAAAGGTTTAACATTATCCCCGATCAAAAGGGGTTTTAAACCCATTATACCCATTTCCACAAGGGTGTTAAAATTATCCCGATCATAAGGTTTTAAAACTTATACCAGACTCACAAGTGTTAACATTATACCCAGTCTCAAAAGGGTTTTAACATTTACGCAGTCTCACAAGTTGTTAACATTATCCCCGTCACAAGGGTGTTAACATTATACCCAGTCTCACAGGGTGTTAACTTATACCCAGTCCACAAAATGTTAAATTTTCCCAAACTCACGGGTGTTAACTTTTTCCC